TGAACCCTCTCATTTATGGTCTCAAACTGAAGCAGCTTCGCAGGATTGTGTGGAGAAGGTTCAACAAAATTACTGCACTAAAATAACTAAGGGTGGCATGGTGGTTCAGGGGGGGGGGGTCACACTGTCGCCTCACACCTCCAGGGTTGGGGATTAGAATCTGTCCTCTGCTCTCTGTGTGTGTAGTTTGCATTTTCCCCCTGTGTTTTGTGGTTATTGTCCCACAGTCAAAGAGCAACATTTAGGCTAACTGCTGTCTTTCAGTTGCCCATATGTTCTTTTGATTTTACGTTTTAATTTTCATATGTACATTTATCTTTCTGCATTTTATTTTTTATTGCATTTTCTGTAAAGTATTTTGAATTACCTTTGTGTTTGAAAATATGTCATACAGATAACTTGATTCGACAGAGATAATGAGCTTGTGCTTGTATGTGCACTGTGAGGGACTGTTGTCCTATCTAGGGAGTACCCCAGCCCTGTGCCCAATACTGCCTATGATAGGTTCCTGCCCCCCCCCTCCCTCCCCATGATGCTAATCAGAATAAGTGGTTAGAAGAAATAAACAAGTGCCTTCTTCTTCTGCGTGATGATTTCGGCCTGCATGGTCTCCATAATGCCATTAGCTTAGCATTGCGTTACCTAGAAAAGAAGGAGGAGCCAAACACATTACAGTGTCCCAGTGCTGATATACAGCAGAAATGGCATATGAGGAATGAAGGGACAGTAATCCATGCTAAAGCCAGCAAGATGCCTTATGTTCTGTCTGCATTTGAGATTTGATACGCCTTATACTGTATATCTGCTTAGAGAATATTTACAAAATGTAACTCATCAGTCTACTAGAAATGTTTTGAAAATGAGGTAACGTATTGGCGCGAGCTACCGGAGATCTGCGGGGATCCCGGCTTGTTCGCCCTAGCGGAGGAGAGCTGGGATCTCCTCCAGGCGGTTACCCCACGGACGGAAGAGCATGCAATGGCGGAAGTGCGCTCCCTCCTACAGCAGCTCGTCAGCCGGGTAAAGGAGAAGCGGCTCCAGCCTCTCTCCTGCACGGAGGTAACCCCGCCCCCACCTACCGGTCCCGGTCGGCGTAAAAAGAAGAAGCGAAGGGGAAAAGGAGAGGAAGCCGCCCCGACGCTCTTCCTGGGACCCTGCTCTCTGCTCCCTGCCTGGGAGTTAGCCAGTGAGCACGAGGGCTCACCACCCGCCTGGGACGACATTGCTGCTGCCCGCCTGGCCGGCTTCCACCCAGAGAAGCTGCCTCCATTGGAGGCGTATCAATACCGGCCAGAGCGCCTGCACAGCAAGGGGATCAGGGCCATCCAGGACGCTATTCTCCGGGTTCCTAAAGCCCTTAAATGGGCAGTCCGAGGCTTACCTGCTCCGGATCTGCCTGCTCCGGACGCGCCTGTCCCGGACCCGCCTGCTCCGGACCTGCCAGCAGCACCGCCTGCTGTTGCCGCCGCTCTGCCCGCGGAACCACCTGTCCAGTCTGACCCGCCTGTCCAGCCTGACCCGCCCGTCCTGTCTGCGGTCGCTGCTGCTGCCGCCGCTCTGCCCGCAGCACCGCCTGCTGCAGCTGCCGTTACCGCTCTGCCTGAGGCGTCCCCTGCTGGCCACGTGACGGCGGTGCCCGCCGAGGTGCCCCCTGCTGCCCACACGCCCGAGGTGCCTGATGAGGCGCCCCCTGCTGGCCACATGTTGGCGGCGCCCGCCGAGGCGCCCCCTGCTGGCCGCACGCCCGAGGCGCCCCCTGCTGGCCGCACGCCCGCGGCCCTGCCTGAGGCCGCCTGTCTGCCCGTCCATCCCGGCTCTTCTGTCCTGCCCGTCCAGCCCGCAGCCACGCCCGAGGCTCCGGCTGCACCGCCTGCCGCCATGCCCCCTACTTTGCCCGAGCCTCCACCCTCGGGGACCTCCCTGACTTTCTCTCCCTTGCCCCACCGTGAACAACGCCCCGCGCGACCCTGTCTTTCGCTGCCCCCTGGCTCGCCCGTTCGGCCCCTGGCTGCGGCTCGGTGGCTGCCTACGTGTCCTGCGCCGTCGGGTCGGCTATCGCCTCTGGGTCCTCCCCCGGTTCCTCGGTGCCGGTCCTCGGCCTCACCTCCGGCTCGTCCCTCTGATCCTCCTCTGTTCACTCCTGGCCCCTTCATGTCGCCTGTGGGTGTTCCCTCCGTGTCGCCCTTTTCCGTCTGCCTGTCCGCGTTTCCTGTTCTTTGTCGGGTTTTGTCTTTCTTCTGGTCCCTGTTCCTGTTCAGTGTTTCCGTTCTGTTTCCTGTTCCCCGTTAGTCTTGCCTTTTGTCTTCCAGGTCCTGTTCCCTTGGGCGCAACCGGTGTGCGCGCCTTTGGGGGGGGGTTCTGTCACGTCCAGCTCCGTCTGATCCTCGTGTGTGCCACGCCCACCTCATTACCTCGTGTCAATTCCTGATTGTCATCACCTGTTGCCTATTCCTTTTGTCTTGTCTTGTGTATTTAGTCCGAGTCTCAGTCAGTCTTCCCCAGATCAGTCATGTGGTGTTATGTAGTGTCATGTATTGTTGTAAAGTGTGGTGTTTGTTGCCAGTCCGACCATTAAACCCCTGATTACCCGTCAGTTCGGCTTACTCTCTTGCTTCCCTGCTCGCCTTCTTGCCGAATCGTGACAGTAATTTTGTCATCGGTTTTAGCACTAGCACAAATTGTTGTTTAATTCAGAAATTAAGTA